TCATGGTGTTATTTTGGTATTCAGGAGTAATTTCACTGCTTACCGGTTCAGGAGAAAACCTTCAATCTGCCTGCGAGTGTTATTCCTAACGGTGGGACTGACGCAGAATCAATCAGAGTAGTGATCAAGAAAGTCACGGATGGATTTCAAGTACGCTTGAATAATCCCAACTCAGTTTGTTGAGGATCCCATCTTTTTTTAGGTCACCTCGAATGATCTCGCTAAAGCCGTCAATGTGCGTGAACTAGAGAAGGATAAAGGGTTGCTTGAAGTTTTGAACATTGCCATGTCTCAGAAAGGCTATCTAGAAACGTAGGAATTCAGTCTCATTCTAGATGCAGTGAGTCTACTTCTCCAATTTCAGCTCACAGTTCGTGACTTATGGATCTGGAGTACATTACTTATTCGACCATCGAGCTTTAGGATTCAGGTGAGAACTCTAATTTTGGATGCTACTTGAAATGACCTGGACAGTGAACTGGGTCTGGTCATCGTCATTTATTTAATACTATCTGCTTTTCCAGAGACAATGAGGTTCCCGAACTTATGGACGGAAAATACATGGGGATAGGAGTAACCAAGAGCGTGAAAGTGCTTCAGGGCGAGAAGGGCCCCAATGCCCCTACAGCATTTGTCGTGACCGATAGTGAGTGGCTTTTGGAGCAAATTCCTGTGCGACTAAATGCATATTGTTACAGTCACAAAGGGAGCGTTTCACATCGATGATCAGAATTTGCTGGAAAAAATTTCCTCCATGTCGATCTTCATAGATCCTAGATCTGGCCAATCGCGTTTCACCGTAGAAGCAGCCATGCAAATCTACAATCAGAAGGCAATCTTGCAGATAATTAAGGGTATATATAATCAATTAATTGATATAATTAATTGATCGATATAATTTATGTTTTCAAGGTCTCTACGTCAAAACAATGTATGGAAAGAAACGAACTTTCCCAATCGGAAACATCGCACAGCCCGCAAATCAACTAAAGTTCGTGCTCTTTTGCATTGCTTTTTGAAAAGCGCTTGGTCTCTTGGTTTAGTGTAGTCAAA